GTTAAGCTTCTCTATTCGGCAGCAGCAATTTCACCTCAGTCTGTTTGTCATCACCCAAAACAAAAGCACACGGGAACAAAAGATGGTTTGCTGTTTATTGCTTTTTGGAGATTTCCATAAGAAGAGCAAATATGGGCAGAGAAGCTGAGGAATAAAGTGCCTGCAGGACAAAGTTCTTACCTACAATGTAAAATTTTCTTTTTCCTTATAGCAAGATGCAATAGTTTTAAGGTGGAACTTGGACAAAATTGAACTCAGATCTTCTGAACTGAAAGACACTGGCAGTTTGAGTGCTTCCAGTTCTTCTGGGCAGAAAGAAAAATGCCATTCCTGCCTGAAAAGTCAGATAGATAAGGCCAGCGTTTGCAGAAGGCAATATATCTACAAGGTGCCACACTTATCCCTAATTTCTTCTCCAAAGAGAATAGAGTAATCGGGGATCTCAGACCTTGGAAAAAGGGTTGATTTGAAGTAGTTGGGGAAAAGCACATTGCTCCATCGAGGTGGTAAGGACAAGTTTATTGCAGCTGGTTGCTTAGCAGGTACTTTGGTTTTTCATGGAGTGCTGCAGGCGTTTTGATATAAGGGTTCTGACTGTTGGCTCTGACATGGCCTTCAATCTGTTTTCTTCAAGGCAGGAATGAGGTTATGTGTATTCAGTGAGGGGTTTAGCCACAGGGAAGATCTGTCCATTTCAATATATCACTCTAGCTCTTTAGTGTCTGAGCAATAGCTCTTACTTTGGGAGTGCTTTGGACTGGCTTTATTGTTTGTCTAGATCAGAGGGTAATAGCCTCTGTGTTAGAAAAAAAAATGAGGTTATGGGCAACTGCAGAGGAAGAGAAATAATGAAAAATGTTCTTGAGTAGACCACAGGTGAGTAGAAAATGCATTTGAATGCATATATTGACAAGAACCCTGTGGATTTAATGAATTCCCCGGTCCCAATGCTGTTGACACCTTTTCCTTAGCACATTTCTCAACTTTTCCCTCTTGCTTGAAGGGGGAAGGAGCCTCAGGACTTCACCATTTCTGTCAGTCTCAGCTAGTTTCTTGGCAGTGTAATTACTGTACAGAGAAAGAGCAGTCATGGAAAAAGAAGGAAGAAATCAAAGTGAGATGAAAATGAAGAAAAGCAGGCAAAGGCAGACCTTGTCCTCTCAGATGAGAGTGACTTGTCTGCTGTTTTTGGTGTGGAAGATGAAGCTTGGGTGCTTGTTTGTGTGAACCCTAAGCCTGCCTTCCCTGCTTTAAGACCTTCTGCTGGACAAGAGGGAGATGTTAGATGTGTGTTATTCACCCGTCCCCTTGTTCCTCTCAGTGGTTTGCAGGCTGGCTTGCCCAAGTGAAATGTGTTGGCCGTGCCTGTAACGTGCATGGCATTGCTGCCTGGGTAGTAGACATCAGTGTGTTTTAGAGCTTCGGCTCTGGCTGTATCTGAGCTGTAACCAAATTCTTTTCCCAGCACAAAGAGATGCTCCAGCGAAGTCACCGACCTGGAGCCAGCCCAGCAGACATTGCAGCTACTATGGATGTGGGTGGCAGTGAGATGGTAGCTTTGTAAACTAGCTATATTTTTAAGGGCCAGGCCCATGGGACTGGTGAGGCAGGGAAGATGGCCGACAGGGAAAGAGTTTGACCTATGCAATTTGTGCGTTGTCTTCTTCATGGCAGAATGGGAGACTTTTCTAGAAGGCAGAGTGGTGTGATCAGTACATCCTACCTGTGTGCTGTCATACTTTCTCCCAAAGGAAACAGTACACACAGTGTGGGGCTTTACCCTGGAATTGGTATGGTAATGTGTGTAAATACATTCAGGAGATGGGAAGGAGGAAAGGATACTCTGGTTGAAGAGAGAGAGTGTCTTGCCCCAGTGCATGAGCTTTTTCTGCCTGATGTTTTTACCTTGGCAAGGTTTTTTTTTTTTCTATTTCACAGCAGCAAGGCTCTCCCCTTACCTCGCTCCATGCTCTGCTTGCTCCATCTGTGTGCTTGTCTTTTGATGTCAGTCACGCTATCTGATTTGTAATGAGGAAACAACGCCTTTTTTTCTGTCGCATCCTTCCCCCAGTCCTCTGAACACCTCAGTGCAGAAGGATTGAATTTAGCCACGGAACAGCAAGCTGCAAAGCAACCTCTCTGGGGCTCTGTGGAGCAGCTGGCATTTGAGAAATAAGAGGCAATGGGGAACAACGTCTTTGGGGATCACAGCAGTCAGCTGTTACACTCATTTGCTCTCCAAGTTTATGACACAAGGATAGCCAGTGCTGTGTGAGACAAATGCACTGTCACATCTTAAAAGCTGGGAAGGTCTGTGTGGGCTTTTCCTCCACTCATTAACCAGCCTTTCTCGTTGTCATATTCTCGTGCTTCAAATGAGGAGGCACGTTAGATGGTCACCTAGGTGGTTCTGCTTATTATACCTGAATCAGCTGTGATCAGTTGTCGCAGTGCTTCTGGGAGTGCTGCTGTCAGACTACAAGAGCTGCCTCTCAAAAACCCAGACATGGTTTTCTCCCTAGCCTCAGGACATCCAAGTCAAGACTTCTGGAGGTGGTGTCTTGTTTTGCTTGGTCCATTTGACAATGGAGCTGTCTGAGACCTTTCTGATCAGGTGTTTTTGGGGCTGCACTGACTTTACTGCTAGGAGATCTCAGTGCTTGCCCTGTGATTGTTTTACCATAGGAACATAGCTTTGGCACAATTTTTATCAGGTGGTACTTTTCCTAGATTCAGTGTCAAATAGCTACATCAGGATTTAACCTGGATCTCACACAGCTTTGATGGCGACCCTCTGCTTTCCAGCTTTTTCCTTTTTTCAGTTGATTCCTGCTGCTGTCTGGTTTTGCAGGGAAAAGGGAGATGGGTTCTGTGGACCATGGAGGTGTCAGCCTGAAGGACACTGTGTTGGCTGAGCTGTGCTCTTGCTGATTTATTCATGTGTCTGGCTCAGCTGTCTGCATTTGCTGTTGCCTCAGGAGGGATTTGAAACCTCTCCTTTATAGACCTCAAAGGTAACAGTAGTAAAAGCATATTCTGAGACACAGTACAGGGACTGAAGGAGAGTGTGGGCACACACGGGGTCATATCTCTGTCTTTTGCTATTCCGCGTTCCTCCAATCCACAGAAGAATTTTTCTTCAAGGAATAGACTTTTCAGAACCTCAGCTTTCACATGTGCTGGTGGTTCTCCTGAAAATGATGCCTTGCATTTGTACTGCCTCAGTCCTTAAGCACGAAAAGAGACAGGAGCGCAGGAAGACAGCCGGGCAGACTTGGCAGAGACATCTGTCATTTCACATAACACCCAAGCTTCCTAAAGTGGGTCAGTAACTTTGCAAGTCACAGACATCTGGAAACGGCAGTGACACGGATGAAGTCTGCTCAGCCTTCAGGCTGGCTTTTAGGCCTGTTCAGACAGAAGGGAAATGGTTGGCAGGAGGAGCACCTGCAGAGCATGAGTTAGCCATCCCAGTGCTCAGGATCCTGCTGGACCTGGCTAGCTGATGCAGCCTTTTGGAGCTGGAAAAGTTCCAGGCAAAGAAACAGGATGCACAGAAACAGTGCTTTTGGCATTGTTCATGTCAGGTGCTGAGGACTAAAAACACAGCAGCCTTTTCTCTCCAAAGATTACACTGGAGGAAAGCCAGTGTATATCAGGCATTCACAATTTTTTCAGCCTTCAGGATTACAGATTAAGTCAAGTTTCTTGTTTCTGTGCTAGGTAGCCTCTGGCTTCAGAGGTTCCATCAAATTTGAGACTGTGGGAAGCATTTCCTACCTAAGATCAGAATTTACTTTCCATGCCTCTGTTACTAAACTGAGCAGGAAGCCTGGTAGGAAACACTCCTGGAAGTATTTGCCTGTAGGATTTGGGTACCAGTTCAGTTAGGAATGTACTGATGTTTGCAAAACTTTCTTTTCCAGAAAGAGTAAACTAGTGGATCCTGGGAAAAGCTGATCCCCTCTGAGTTTGTGTCCATTAACCATGCTTGTGGCAACTGCTGTTACTCAATTGATTACTGTTGCTGGTTGCTCCTTCGCTCTTATTAAATGGCATTTTCTGATTGCAGTCTGCTAGATGGTTTCTTGGCTTTAGTTTTGCTCGTGTAATAACTCCTGCTTTCCTGCCAGCTCCAAATTCACTGCCTGGGGTAATGCTTTTTGGCTGTTTGAAAATGGATATGAAAAGGTATCCATTTAATTACACAATATCTCACTATAAATTGCCTGCATGCATAGTGTGGGAGTCTGTTCCCTGCTGCAAATTAGCTTCCCTGCTCTCTGTCCATTTTTGTTGGGGAGAGGTGGGATCCATGTTCTACTGATGCCAGTGCTGGATTTTCACCCTTATTTGTGCTTACCCCCATATCCGCTGGCACAGAAGTTCTGTAGGAAACCTGAATGCTGTTTTTGGAGGAATGTATCTGTGAGCAGTGGAATTAATAAAGCTTTTTGTCCTGTGCTGCTGGCCCTTCCAGTTGAATTCCTTGGGGGGTCTGTTAGGGTTTATTTGGATGTTGTAGCAGTGTAAAATTCCTCTGAAGACTCCCAGTACCTAAAAGGTGTTTGAGTTGATTTGCTATCTTTTCTATCTCCAAGACTTCTTGGTAATAGGAAATTATTTTTCTCTCCATCCACCTGTTTCCATTACATTAACATCCCTGAAACTGTTTCTCTTCTGTCAGATTTAGTAGAAATTATGCTGTGTAACCTAGCATATGTGAGCACAGAATAAATTTTCTTGTTTCCGTAGCAAGCCAGGTTCAAAAGACTTTTTTTTACCTTGCTGGTGTTCTAGGGTGGATAGGATAAAAAGCCATCCACACACAGAAATGAGGTGTGGAGCAGATCTGTCTGCCTCTGCCTGTTGCTGACTGGGGCCTCATGTGCTGAACTAAGCCCGGTTTTCAGTAATTGCTGTTCCCAGAACTCAGCAGGCTGGAGGCGGGTGGAAGGAAGATAAACATCAGAGTTCAACATCCAGACAAACACAGCAGAGCACACAATAAATACATCCACCCCGAAATGCAAAAACATCAGAGGAGGTTCCTGCCCCCAGGGCTCCGAGCAGAGCAGGCTCAGGCAGGAGAGCAGCAGGATGAGGTGAGTGCTGTCACAGCAACCTGCCTGCTCCTCTGGCCACCTGGGCCTGAAGAGGCACGAGTGTGAGTCTCATCTTGTCTCGCTGTTGCTGCACTGTGGTTTCTTCTATTACCAAATGAGAAGGGTGTCCGGGCATAAGGATTTCATCTAGTGCTGGCATATCTGTGATCTGGTACCGAGATGAGCTTCTTGGATGTGTGGTGTTTGGGATGTGATTGAGTTGACACTCAATGTCTGCTCATCTGTTCCTTTGAGGCAGGCTGCTTCTCTTGCTAGCTGTGCTTTGTGGTGGAGTAAACAGCAGCATTGTGCTGCAGAAAATGTACGGGAGGATCACATCTCCTAACTTCCCCAGTACCTACCCAAATCACAAGGAGAGAACGTGGAATGTTACCGTCCCCAGAGGATATGCTGTCCGCATCTACTTCACCCACTTCAACCTGGAGCTGTCCTACCAGTGTGAATACGATTACGTGAAGGTATGTGTAGGGCAGGTGGCTGTGTGGCTTGCTGCACTCTTTAAAACTGTGTGTGTGTGATCCTGGCCACGTGCAGGGCCAACAGAACTGTTGTAAGCAGTTGCTTCTAGTATGCTAGTGAAGTTCAGGCTCGGTTGATTTATAAATGATGTGTTTATGGAGGCCTGTGTGACCATGATTGTCACATTAAAACATTTAGAACTTGGGGGTTTTGTGCTCAAAATTTCTGAAATTCCCTTCTTGCGAAGCAAAAAGTTTGAGATGTTGCCCAGGACAACAGTTGAGCTTCATTTTTCTGAAGTTCCACTGTGTGCTTTAAATTAACATGTAGTGCTTTACAGAGGAATAATGGGAGACTGCAAAGGTGTAAGCGATAGTCTAAACAAGATACCGTCAGCTTGTCCAAACGTGCATTTGCAACCCTTGCTGTCTGCTTTTGCTAGCTAATGTGAGAAACGACGTCAGGAAGAAGAGATACTGGCTTTGGGAAGTGCTTGCATGGTGAGCACTATCCCTGAAATGTTTGTGCTCCACATACTTTAGCCTAGGCAGCCCTGTTGCTCATTTAAGGCCATCCCACCACTGCCTCGGTTTGTTGTTTGGATAGACCTGGTCCCATCGATGAGGGAGCTGTGTACAGAGAAAGCTTGCAAAGGTGATGTACTGACAGTACTTTAGCATCTGATGGAACCAAATCAGGTGGACTTGATACTGTTTTGGAAGATCTCATTTCCGTAATTTAATATGACAAGTTGCTGCCATTGCTGTGTTCTTGCTGTGGTTTTCTTTGGACAGGACAGAAAACCCATTTCTGATCATTTGTAGTATATGCAATTTTGTCATGACCATGACCCGTGTATCAGAACATCTGTCTTACATTACAAACACGAGATAAATGAAGAGATCAGACTGTAATAAGTGAATCATAGAGCACATGAGTCACTAATTTAAAGAGACCTTTTGTTATATGTTTTGAATGTATCAGTGTATGAAACCTTTCTACCCCAGTTATCTCTAGCTTTGTCCTCACTTAGGTCTGCTGTACACAAAGATTTCACTGTCATTGAAAGTGTGAAGTTAACAAGAACTTTCTGTACAATAAGCAAAACATGGTGCTGGGAGCCCAGCTTGGCTTCACAGCTTTGTGGGAGGCCTCTGAAAAGAAAAGGGGAGCTTAATTCACAGAGAACAAGGATAGTCCTTGTGTGTCGCTGTATCTGGGTTAATTTCCAGAAGCATCTTTTGAGAACATCCAAGTCTAGAAATGTCTTGAACCTCCTTTCACATTCCATTAAGCACTTGCTCTCCAATGCACGACAGCAAAGCTCTGTGATCATCTGGTAAATTTCTGTTTTGCAGCTAAGCTCCAATGGGAAGACCTTGGCCACGCTGTGCGGACGGGATAGTACTGACACCGAGGAGGCTCCAGGCAACAAAACATACATCTCTACTGACAACACCCTCATGGTTGTATTTCGGTCTGACTACTCCAATGAGAAGCCGTTCACGGGCTTTGAGGCCTTCTATGCTGCTGAAGGTAAGAGCCCAGCCCCTCCTGTAGGTGGAAGAGAAACAGCTGTGGTGGGGTTGGTGCTTCCATGTGCTCGCACACACTGTGGCTCCTGTGTTAGGTGACAGAAGGTGGTCTTGTATGGAGATGTTGCTCGAAGTGAAACAAAGTTAAAAGGTGTTGATTGCCTCATTCTTCTATGCTTCGCCCATTAGATATCGATGAGTGCAAACAGCTGTTTGATGGTGAGCCCCTCTGCAATCATTTCTGTCACAACTATGTGGGGGGCTACTATTGCAGCTGTCGGATTGGTTACATACTGCATGAGAACAAGAGGACGTGCACAGGTGAGTTCTTGCAGATCAAGAGATACTTTCCTGTCTACAGCATCTGCCTAAACTTAGTCACAGCATCAAAATCAAAGCAGCCTTTTACTGTTGTTGCTTTTAAGATCCCCTGTGGGCCTGGAGGAGGGCTTAGGGGTAGGGTAGGTAGGGGCTTAGGGCTGTGAGCAGAGTGGTTTGCTGTGGGCTAATGGCAGCCATGAGGGCAATCAACATTGTGTGATAGCAGAATGGTGCATTGGCAGTTTTCAGGTCCAGAAGAGAAGTCAGTGGCTGTCAGAGTGTGAAGGTAACATTTTTTGGCTACTTCTTAGTCAGCATGCACCTGTGTTCAGCTGTAGACAGGCTGAGCAGAGAAGAAAGAAACTCATTGTCTGCTGCCCACTACAGACACTTCCAAACTTTATGGCTGCCAGTGCAGCCAGCCTTGCAGCACTGAGTATATCATGCTGTCTGGGTGCTGAGGGACTGAGTGTTCTGGACCTGAGTTAGTAGATGTGCTGAAAAAACTTAACAATCAGATTGCCAAGTCTAATGGAGAAAGATTTTGCTTACTGTCCCTGGAGGGACCCAGGCTGAGGAGCAGTGCAGTCTGCTTATCACTGACACCAGATACAACCAGATACAATCATCCTCTCATTAAATAAAAGACAAGGCCAAGCACAAGTCTCTTTTTCAGGAGGTTATACAGCGTGAGATTTACCCAGCTGACTCCTGCCTGGCTGTGTTGTTCAGTGCACAGCTGGGGAAGGCTTATCATTTGGTAGGCAGGAAAGTCTGAATCAATGCAGTGATCAGCTCCTCAGGATTCACATTGTCTGCAGTGAATTGTGTGCCTACACATGCTATCAGATTAATCCTCTGTGAGTGCAACTTTGCCCACTTAAAGCTGAATCCTGTCTGAAAAGAACCAGCACACAATACTCACAAAAATTGTCATAATAGTTTGTGCTTCCCAGTGCTGAAAATCAGACCTGGCTGTAACTTGCACTGCTTAACTGACATTTGGCTTCCCACCTTTACCCCATTACAACCCTTCTCCAGCCATGACTGTCTGGATCTGATGCAGAATTCAAACTCTTCATGTTTTCGGTGCGTTAACAGACATATTCATTGTTCACTCTCTCCTTCCTAAAGCGATGGCTTGTAACAGAAATGTATTGGTGATATGGAAGGGCTGGGCTACAATGCTACTGAGAGGTGGAGCCATGCATTGGGAGTTACTGTGGCACAGCTGAGGAGTTGGAACTTGTTCACATTTCGGGGGGACCTTCAGATGAAAGTTCCAGCCCCTGGGCTGGGCTGCAAAGCAAAGGTCTCTGCAGATCGTCCTTAAGAGATGAGGGCAAAAGCTGCCCCTTTGATTTTGGTCCCTGCCTGAGTGCTCTGATATTGACAGGCTTTTTTTTTTTTTTTTTTCCTTTATTTTCCAGCGTGAAATAATTAAGCTTCTCCTCGCTTAGGCAGAGATGGATACAGATGTGCTGGAAAAAGCTGGTTTGCCCTCCCCTGTGGCCTTCCTGTTGCAGTCCAACTAAGGGGGCTGCAGGCTTCTCTTGTTTCCTTGCCTCCCAGACCTCCTTCCTCCAGCCAATAAAGAGGCCATTACTTGTTGAAAGCTCATGGTATCCTGTGGGCATTCATTTTCTTGCATTTCCTGTGTGTCACTAGTGAAAGAAGGAAGAAGATAATGGAGGCTGATAAAAGAAGGCCTCTGGCCATATCTCTGTTGTGAACCCAGTCTTATTGCCGAAGTTCATTCTGGTGAACAAAGCCTCAGATTGACAGGAATTAGGTAAAATGATGTGAATGTCACCAGGGCAGCTTCGGAGAGAACTTGTGCAGTCAGCAGTGCCCTCACCAAAATAGGTGCAGCGCAAAGGCATTGTGGCACTGATAGGTTCTGCCTCATTTCCTTTTGACTGGACTATCTGGGCAGGGGCTGCTTTCCTGCAGCGCGTTGGAGGAGCATCATGCTTGCTGCTTTGTCAGACACCAAAGTTCCCCAGTTCTGTGGAGGGAATTATGATAATCTCGAGTGAGAGCTGAACGTGGCAGAGCTGAGCAGCCCAGGTGAATAGCTGGTAGAGAGATGCTGCAGGAGCTGATTTGGGGATGGAGTTGTGCAAGTGATTACCAGGACTTACTTCTCTGCGCTTAATTTTGTTCAGAAGCCGCTTTATGATCACAGTGAATTTGTGACCAAAGCAGCTTGAGTTTTTGTCAGTGGTTCAGTGGTACAATTTATGATCCACGTTCCTTGAGATACCTAATAAGCCAGTGACAGTGGAGTTGCAAATTTTGAGGGGGTCATTTTTCAGAATGAAGCCTCTGGCAAACAGCTCACTGCAGTTCTAATAAAATATGGCCTGAGCATAATTGAGCACTCTCTGGACATCTCTAAAGCATAGACTGAGAAGTCAAGGAACAGTATTTCTGCTGTGAGATGTTCAGAAATTATTTGATCCTTTTTGTGCTGAATAGTTTATGACTTTCTTCCTTGCAGACTGATGGATAATAAAGATACTGCCCTGACACAGGGATCTCCCAGCAGCTGCATTGAGGAGGTAATGAGAAAAGTAAGGTCCAGTCTAGGTTTTTTCATCTTCAGGCTGCAGATTTCCTTTGACTAGCACAGAGTGTCTTCTGATGGGTCAGCTAGTTTTGGCCATGTGAACTCAGAGTTTATTGGTGATGACTACACATTTTCCAAACCATATGGTGAAAATCCCCCATCAAAATTAGGAATCTGAAGGTAAAGAAGAAAGATACAGTAAAGCATGAAGAATTACCAGTTTTGTATCATTTCTTTTTATTTCATTATATGTCCCTTTGCTTCTTTTATTACTAGAGGAGGTAAAACCACCTTTGGAAACTGAGCTGGATAGTTATACGTAGTGTTTTTCTATCTCTACATACATGTATATATGTGTACGTATTACCAAACAGTGTCCTCTTCTCATGTTTTTATGAGGAGCTTTTGCCTAATAATATTCCTTCAAATGTACTCTAGGGAAAGAAAGTTATTGGTTGTTCCTGTAAATAGAAGCCAAGTGATGCTGCCTTGTAGCTTTGAGCTTCATGTAGGGGAATCTAACTTCACCAACCTGCGTACTCTTCTTTATACAGTAGATCCCATGCATGCTGAAGGAAGAAAATGGTTTTGTAAGTAAGGAAGGCTTTGTAGGTAGGGAAGGATTCCGATGCAGAATTAGCATTAGATTTGAGGTTTTTCCTTTCTAATGATTTCCTAAGGGCATTAGGGGTGTGAAGATAGTACTTGTTACGTTGTGGCACGTGTGTTTAGGATAAGACTTCACACAGAGTCTTTTTCCACACTGAAGGATTTTATTCTTTTATTCCTTTCTCTTCCTATCATTGCCTCTAGACTGCTCTGGAGGCTGTAGAACAGGGACAGACACTGTCAACATGAGGAGATGTCAGTTTTTAAGAGGAATGGATTTTTTTCCGCTGAGATGGCTGTGAGCTATCAACTGCTGAAGTTGCACATCAGGTAGGTTTTGAGGTGCTTCTTAACCTGGGTTTGCAGCAGGTAGAAGGAAGCATTGCAGCAGGTAGAAGGAAGCATTGCAGCAGGACCTGATGCCTGGGGAGAGACACTGTGTCACTGGCAGTACTGTAAGCAGCACCTGCAGCAGCTCAGGAGAGCGTGCTGGAAAATGTGCTTTATTCTCATGTAGCCATCAAATGCTTCTGTAGTTTGAGGCAGAATGAGTGAATTACAGAAACATGCATGCAGAGGAAAAAAAAAAACCAAAACCTGCTGGTACAGCATGAAAGGAAAAGATTTAATTCCCATTGTAGCTCAACTGATATCTGCTGGTGCAGAGCAGCCAGAACCTCCATGTGCATTAGTCGAGCTCCCTGTGTTTCTTTGGACCAAGAGGGGCATTTCAGCCAGGATTTAATAATGAGAGTGCTGGGTTTATGCAGGATAAGCCTTTATTAGTATTTATTGACTGGTTCACTCTGTGCCTTGATAAGTTTTGTTTGAAATCATAAGACAGTGAGTTCAGAGCAGAGCTCACGTAGTCACTGTGGTGATGGATAGGTTTATGTCAAATAAGATTAGTTGCACATAAATTCCAGGGATGATGGACAGAGAAATACTGTTTGTTTCTTTATGCCCCTAACATCCTACTGAAATCATTGGGAAGCTAAAATCTGAACTCTGCTGTTAGTTCTGCATCAAGAGTCCTTTCCTATTGCCTACAAAGCCATTTTTCCCTGAGCATGGAATCTGCTGTGTAAGGGAGCATACTCAGATTGGTAAAGGTAGATTCTGTTGCAGGAAGTTATTGCTTGTGCTAGAACAAACACACAGGGGTGCCCATACGCGACGTTACTTGTGTTACAGTATTGTGGTTGTGCTAAGAGCCACACAAATGTAAAACAAAAAGAGAACTTTTTTACACATTCCCACTTTCCAAGCGATCACTTACATCCAAATGGTTCCCGCAGTAGCCAGGAGTGCTGTTGCTCAGGTGTAGGGAGGAAGCAGGTTTCATTGTCCGAAGTAAAAAGGCTTAGAATCCTGGCTGATGACATCCCCAGTTAGTTAAGAGACACTGATGTTCATTTTTGCATTTAAAATCTGGTCCTATTCCATTAAAATGACAACCTTAAATCAGATGGTTTACTTCAGATGGCAGTCTGTAAATAGTGACTGGATAATGGCTTTTTATTTTATTTTATTTTATTTTTGTTGAGGGAGGCTCACGTAGTGTTTTTGATGATACGATTGAAGCGATTTTCCTCTCGGAATTAATTCAGCATCACAGTGTTGCAGAAATATTCCGGCATTATCAGCCAGTCCTGCGTTCCTCATCAGCTGAAGGATTGCTCATACAGCTTTTGCAGCACGTCATAAAGGCTTTGTTCCCAGCTGATCAAAGCACCACTTCACAGCGATCAGATGCTGTCAACAAGCAGAGATCCTCAGGGCACTTGTGGCTGTTCCTCCTCGCTGCGGCAGGGAGCATTTGTGGCTCCAATTGTGTCTGCAAGAGGCCCAGCTGGTTTTGCTCAGAAAATACAATTACATTCTAAACGTCTGGCAGCAAAGGCATTAAAAAGAAAGCTTCATTCAGAGGCCTCTGGAACTGAGGTGCTGATAGCTGTCCTAGGGCTCTGCACGCTCTGGTGCAGGAGACAAGCTGCAAGTTTAACACCTTGGAATGTTTTGAGCTTCCAGCTATCGCACTCATTTTGAGCACCAGCCCTGTGCCCATCCAAGCGGTGCTGTTGTTGGTGTCCTCCCCCACACTGCTGCTGAGGTGGCAGCGCTGCATAGTGCTTGTGCTGCAGCCCTGCCCGAGCAGAGCACAGCTTTCTGAGCCATCACAGGTGCCTGCCGGTAGAATGTGTAACTGTTGCTTCCCTTCAGAGGTCATTAAATTGTGGCTCTGAAACTTTCTCTAAGTGACAAGCATAGAAAAAATGCATAGCAGTTAGCAGTGTGGCTGGACTGGATTAATATAAACACAATAATTTTCCATTACTTTTTCTAGCCCAGTGTCAGAACCAAGTTTTTACTCAAAGAACTGGAGAAATTGCCAGCCCTGACTATCCAGCACCTTATCCCCCATTCAGCACCTGCAGCTACAGTATCCAGGTAGAAGATGGCTTTCTGATCACATTGGAATTCGTGGAGACCTTTAATGTGGAGGCACACCCCGAGGTGCTGTGCCCCTATGATGTACTCAAGGTAGGGTGGGGCTCCCTCACAGCTTTTGAGACACTGGTTCCTATTCTGCATCTTCCCCAGCCTGTGTTTTGCCACGTTCATTTTGTGTCTCTGTGTCTCTCCTCACTCGTTTCTTCTTCCCATCTCTTCAGTTTTGTTGTTGTGTTCTTTCAGCACCTTTTATCTTTGGGAAATTCACCCGAAGAACAAATGCAAACATGTGTTTAATGTCCTGAAAGATTTCAGATGATCACAAGCTTTGCCTGTATCCCAGTGGTACCAGGGGGCTCAGATAAGTCTTTTCCATTCTCTTTGCTTTTGTATCAGTGGACCCAGTGATCATTTCCCAGGAATTCCATAGCAGTTAGGATGCTTGGAGGAAAGGCCCTCTGAGGTACTGCAGTGGCAAGCTGTCATTCTAACTCCCTGCCTTTCCTTTGCATGCTTTGCAAGAAAGGGCCATTCAAGTTCAAGGAATTTAAAATTAGTTTGTTCTTCTATAAGCCTCGTGGGTGGAGATGTAAATATAGGGGTGGGGATTTTTTTGTTTTGTTACTGTTTTTCTGCCTTCTTTTCAGATTGAAACACACAAAAAGCAGTTTGGCCCATTCTGCGGGAAGACTTTGCCTGCAAAAATTGAGACACAGACCAGTGTTGTAAATATTACTTTCATAACTGACATGTCAGGAGCACACACTGGATGGAAGGTGAAATACACAGCAGCAGGTGGGTAGACCTCTATCCACTACTCAAATCCAGACTGTTCCCAGAATTTAATTCTGGAAAGGCCTGAATAGCACTCAAATAGCTGTGCTTTGAAACAGTAGTTTCACCCTTGAATTTCTACCTTATTGAATGTAGCTCCCAGTAGTTACTTTTGAAACTGAGTTTTGAGAGAATTCCAGGGTTCGCGCTATCCTTACAGTTAACCTCTAGTTTTGGTATAAGGTGTTATTTTAGGGAATGAATTTCCCACCTGGACAAGAGGTGAGGTGTGTGTTTAGGCAGCAGATGCACTGGGTGAATCCTGCCAGCATAGCCTGGCTCTGTGCTGGCCGCTGCACACCTTTGGTGTCAGCCCACAGTTCTTCCTTCTGTGCTCAGTAGCTGTAGATCTGTGCGAGTGAAACAGTGTAGAGAAAGGGTAGAGAAGTGCGTTTATTTTTATATTTTGTATATATATATATAAAAATATATATATTTTTTCCTTAAGAGCCTCCAGCAGTAAATAGCAAAGTCACTTTAAGGGCAGTTTCTGTCATTCCGGTGCCAGGTTTGCCGTGCCCCAGTCCTGAAGCACCACCCTATGGCCGCATCGCACCAGTGCAAGCACGGTACACCGTGGGTGACCACTATGTGCTCTCTTGCGACATTGGATACGTGCTGCTTGAAGTAGGTGAACATGGCATTGTCAGCCCTATTGTGATTAATTTCTCAGGGGTTAAACATGTGGGTGCCTTTTCTCATTAACAGTTTCTGTTGCTCACATACAACAGTTCTGAGATATTTTCATTATGCTCCATTTGTTAGCAGTTGTCCTTGATACCCTTCCCAAAGAATTGTTTCTTTGTATGCCTGTGTACTGGCTGATGTTCTTTGAACACTGCAGGTTAGCTTATAATTATGCTGGAAGAATGAATAACTTTATAAAAGATTTCAGGAAGTGAGAATTTATTTTCTTTCATTTGTTATTGCACCTCTTCTGGGAAGTTACAGCTAGTAACTTGGTCATTCCCACTGAACACAGCATTTCTCACTTAGTCCTCAACAGCATCCTACTTCCTAGCTGTTCTAGGCTGCACATGCACACAGCAAAACTTCAAATCAGGGTTAAGTGTCTGCGTTTTAGCAAAGCACGCAGACTCTTCTGAGTAATTATTTTATACTCTGTCTGATTTAGTAGTTGCACACCTTTACTGTTTATGTAGAAACTGAGAATAACAAAACTGATGTGAGGGGTTGTGTTCAAGGGGAAGTGGTGTGAAAATGGATGGATGCAGGCTGCACTCCGTGTCCCTGCAGCGCACTGAGTGGCACTGCATGTCCATACTAGAGAGCAGGCAGCTGTGAATGGTAGAACTGCTGCCTACAGAAGATACAAATTAGTCCACGTTTCTAGACAGGGTAAGCTGTCCCTGACACATTGAAGACTATTAACTATACTGCCACTATATTAATAGTGGCAGTATAGGAATTATATACATTTAAAGCAGTATTTCTAGTAGAGAGATTTTAAGCAAATAAAAATCTAATTACTGTTTTTTCCTTTCTGAATGAGCAAATAAACGTGTAGCTGGTGCTGCTTTTCTGTAATTAACCCTCCTAATTTGATGTGAAATTAATATGACCTTTTATTTCTATCCATTTTTCTTGGAGAATGAAAATGTTGTGATGTCTTTTGTAGCAGAATGTCAAAAGAATGCTTCTTGGAACAAACCCATGGCAAAGTGCATCAGTAAGTCCATGTTAACATTAGAACTGGGAAATTTGTGTCAATATTTGTTTATACAAGACAGGTTTTATAAAGACAACGATAGGTATGGCAGTATGAGAAGCAGTTTCTTATGCTTGCTAACCATTCCCTTTCTTGTCAAAGTACTTTTAGTTTTTGCAAGTTGAAAGAATTTTCAATTTCTGCCATTCTTTAAAATCTCTGAAAGGCACTGGTGGTTGTATCTCACAAAAGAAGCGTGGTGAGGTGGACACCGAACCCATTGGCTTTTAGTATTTAAGACTTCCTTACATCTTTTGTACTGCTGTAGTTGTTGACTGCGGCCAGCCTGCGGACATAGACAGCGGCGCCATTGTGTACCTCACGGGGCCTGAGAAGACAACCTACAGTGCTGCCATTCAGTACCAGTGTGCAGCCCCCTTCTACACCATGAGGGCTGACAGCAGCGGTAGGTCACAGAGCTCAAGGAACTTCTCTTTCCAAAACACGGTGAGAGGCTGTCATCTGGGGGAAATATTACCTGTATTTTTAAGGACTTTTACCTAAGCATGTTGAAATGTTCCCAGGCGGACTAAATTCATGATCCATTGTAGGTTTAACCCGTTCTTAACGATTCTCCAGTTAGCAGCATTACATGCATGGGTGGTAGCAAAGGCTGCAGTAGTGTTTGATCCTGCAAACAGCCAGAGGGGAGGTGATACTCCTCAGAAGTGCATTAAACAGTGTAGAGCCCAATGCTGTGACGATGCTCTACAGGTGTTAGGACTCATGAGAACTATGTGCATCTCTTCTGTTCATTTGTTCCCATTTTGATTGTCTCTGAGCTGCAGGTAAATATATATGCAGTGATGATGGATTTTGGAAGAACACCAAGGGAGAAGTAACACTGCCTGTCTGTGAACCAGGTAACACATGGATTACTAAAGTTGCTGCAATTAGTGGTTATGGAAGAATCATTAACAAACTGCCAGCTAATACTCACTGCTGTTGGTACAGAGACAACTATTTTTTACAAGTCTTGGTCTTATCTGAGGCTCTCTATTGCTGCTAGCATTGGAGATTGATGCCATCAACTCAGTGGTTCAGTTCCCTTGAAGAGAGTAAAAAGCTGAACCTCCAATTTATCCCAGCTCCCTGCAGCTTCATGGCTAACTAAACTCTTGTTGCCTGTAAATTGCTTGGAATCGCTTCTGACAGGAAAATTGAATCACTCTCCAGAAGTATTTGAGAGAGAGAAAAAAGCCACTTTTTTTTTTTTTTAATGCTCAAACTGCTAAATTACACCGTAAAATTACTCAAGATCAAAGAATGACTTTTGGGAGAAACATTTTACAATCTAAAAGCCTAATTGTTCCTCTTATCTTTTAGATTAGAATGTCCATATATTCCAATTACCTTAATTTACATTCAGCACAAATGCATTTAGCTCTCTATGCCCAAATTCTTCAGCAAAACGGTATCTCTTGATTACAGAACTTCTCCAAAAGCTGTATGTTGTACCGACTAATGAAAAGTGTGTGCTAAATCAAATATTCATTTGGAAGCAATTCTACCATTCAAAGTAATCTTGGAATTACATTTAGAATCATTAACTTAATTTTACCCATACCAGAGCAATAAATCAGTGTCCAAATCTTAAAACGTTGACGTTATTGCTGCGTTCATTGTTTTACAGTCTGTGGGATGCAAAGAACTGGAGCTGTAGAACGTATTTATGGAGGAAGGAGAGCCAACCCTGGACAATTTCCATGGCAAGTGATGTTAATTACTGAGCGTGGAGAATTAGGAGGTGGCTCACTTTTGTATGACAGCTGGGTTTTAACAGCTGCTCATGTTGTAGCTGAGCAAAGAAATCCCTCAACTTTAAAGATTAAACTGGGGATTTTGAACAAATATTCAGTTCACTATGAGGAAGTCCAGGCAGAAGAAATTTTTATTCATGAAGGTTACAAAAATGATCTTGTCAATTTTGACAATGATATTGCATTGATTAAATTGGAACATAAAGTCCCCGTGAGTACCACTATCTCACCCATTTGTTTACCTGGAAGAGAAGAAAGGTTTCAAATGAAAGCCAACGACACAGTAACTGTATCGGGTTGGGGAAGAACTGAGACCAGGAGCTCTTCTGTGGTACTGCTGTACACTGAATTGATGATTATCAACCAGAAAGTGTGTGCAGATGCATATGCAGGTAAATCACACAATGGCAACCCTCTTGTGGTAACAGACAACATGCTGTGTGCTGGAGCTGAGGAAGGGGGCAGAGATGCCTGCCATGGGGACAGCGGGGGGCCACTCGTGCTCTTGGATGTTCAGACCAGAAAATGGTTTGTTGTTGGTGTTGTGTCCTGGGCTTTAGACTGTGCTGTGGCAGGGCAGTATGGGGTCTACACCAGAGTAATGAGTTACATTCCTTGGATTGAAAGCATCATTACAAATAACTCTTAGTCGATTTTTACTGCTAATTCCTACCAGCTTTTCACTGGTTCTTGGATTACATTACGTAGACTATTTAAATACTTCAAAAAACCAAAATCCTGCATGTTTATTATTAGGCTTAACTGTTCTTTAAAACAAAACAAAAAAACGAACACTTGAGCATCAATTTTCATTTTTGTTTTGTCCCAGAAATTGTTAAAAGACCATTAAGCATATGGCAACTTTGTAAATTTAAATAAACTCGAGACTTTTAATTACTCTTTAAAAACTCAGTAAGATCTATTTTGTTTTCTTTTAAATAGCTTTGTGGATTCCTGTAGGACTGCAGCATTACCAGCTAGCGTTTGAACGAACACGTCCAGAGAAAGCAGGCAGAGCAGCACCAAGGTACCTTAAACCACTGTAGTGGATGGGAAGTTGAAGAGTCCCAGTAGCCCTACGTACCTGGGGAGCACACGTACAGAGAAACCTCTCAGGCTCCCTAGGTTACTGCTGTACTGAAGTGCAGGCACAGCTGCACAACCGTAACCCTAAAGGCCTTCATGCTGTCAGCTGTAAAAACCATTTCTCTTAATATAGCTTTAGAACAGAACAAGCTTTCACATTCGGGTATATAAAATACATAATATCAGTACAGTCAAGAACTACTTGGAAGTAGAGTTATGCGTGTTCTGCAGTAACTGGTTTTTATCAAGCATGCCCAAATGGTATATCCTTATCTGATAATGTAAAGAGACTGTCTCTCTTTTATCTCACATTCTCTTCTGAGCTGAGTTATTCTAGAAATACTGAAGCCTTCTTAAAAAAAACAAGACTGACCACTTCAATATGTAATCAATAGTATTTTATTTACTCGCTTATAAACACTGGAGTATGCAAAGCAGTTAGAAAATAGCACTAAAACTTGAAAACTCTTCAAAAACCTTCAACGATTTTGCTTGAGGGTCAGGAAAGTCTGAAGTTATCAGAGGATTACTCAGCACCGCCAACCCACCTCTTAAAGCCTAAACCTGGGCTTAAGACAATTGAAAAAAATAAAAATAAAGCCATGCTAATCACAAAAACTTACCATAAAGTTCCTTGCAGGGATGTCACAGTTAGTCTTTGGAGGTCCAAGAATACCATTTTTAAGTGTTACTCAGCAGAAGTAGCTGGTAATAGTGCAAGTGCTAAAATGCAAAATTCACAATGGTACAGAGTTTGGATATTATTCTGACTTAAGTGCAGAAAAAAAGACTTAAGCAACTTTTTGCAGTGGGATATGAACAAGCACAGGATTAATTTTCAGCCTGTTTTTTGCAACCCCTCTTCAAACCACTTTAGGTATACATTGAGACCCAGCTGATTTAGTATTGCAATTAAAATGGAAAACTAACAGTAGTGCAGCTGTTTAGATGGTCTTCTGTTCACAAGCGTTGATACTCAGTTCTAACTCAAATCTATTACAACCTGTGTTAACATCCACACTCTGAAGTTGCATAGCTACAGCACAGTGGTACATTGCGTAAAAACATGGATCAAGCTTTAGTGGGTTGCAAGTGCAAATAGCTTCAACAATTCTTCAAGTTCCTACCACCAGAGGAAATAATCTTCCAGCAGTTTGCTCTGAAAGATCCTGCTCTTTGTTAAGAAGCTGCCTCTTATTTGGCCCTCTGCACTCACAGTAAATCCATTTTTTTTCAGATAAGGCTTCTGTCAAACCCATGTACATTCACTAATGCTTTATTTAGCTAGGAAGTCTTTTCTGTGACTAATTCTGAGTTTATAGTCGTCTTCTGAGCTGGAAGTGTCACAGAGCCCTACTTCCCACTGGTGGACTGCTCTAAAAATACACCCCCACAGGAGGTGCTGTGGACGTCAGCACATCTGACAGTGTTTGTTTCCCCTCCATCACACTTCTGGTAAGAGCCCCAACTCCTCAAAATAGAAGTAACTTCCCTTGGTACAGATGCAGGGTGGAGGGAACTGCTTACCATTCTAGGTGCGGATACCCAAACTTGGGGAACTGGATTTTAAATATCTACGTATCACTGAGCAATGCAAAAATGCAGTGGGTTAAGTTGGGTGTCAGGTAGCGACACGTGGTGGCTCCATTTGACTTGCCAACTTTTAGAGCATGCTTATCTGAAACAAGCTGAATTGCTGCAAACAAAACTTTACAGAAGTTCATCTCAAAAGGGTAAAATTAATTAACTGCTATGAATTCTTTGCATTCAGGGCTGCAAAACAAAGACACATATTACTTAAATCAGTTTTATTTAAGAATTTCCTACAGTGACAAATCTTATAAAAAGCATCCAAACACGGAACTGCAGCAAACAGCATTCTTAAGGTATCTTACACAGCAGAGCTTCCACCCTCAAGAGGCACACTGAGCTCACCAGTGATGTGCTGCCGGAGCTACTGCCACGCGCATCACAAGCTCAATGTTCTCATCACAAACCCCACCATCTTCAATTCACGTTGCCACACTTACAGGTCATTAACAGAAAAAAAAAACAACACACACCATACAGCATTCACAGCAGTTGACATAAGGGAAAAAAAATACAAGTATTCTTTTCACATAAACACATTCAGCTAATTGATTAATTAGGTATAAAACCCACTTAAAGTCTTCCACGTATGGATGTCCTTTGAATGCAAGAACACTTGTACTTTATTTGCTATCATTGCTCTCTGCACACTCTCTCACCAAAGCCACAGGATTGAGAGACATCTCGCCAAGTAAAATAAAATCCCATAATGCACCACCAGGTCTCCGCATGCGCTCTCTTTTTTCTCGCTCATACCAGCCCTCTCATGCCTCGGCACCACCATCAATCCCACACAAGGTTTCAGAAGTTCAAACAGCTTTCTGGTTCCATCTCACAGCCTTGCGTTCATAGCGTTGATACGACTCCATGAAATAAAGAGTAGCGGATAAAAATGGAACACCCACCGTCTAAGACGCAGCATGTGCAGTGTGATGAAGTATTCTTGGATGAGAAAGCATGTAGACAGAAGTATTCCTAAGGCAGAATATTTACAGCACTGCTTTCAATGAAGTGCTTCTTCCATACACATTTGAAATGAGATGAACTGCGGAGATTAAATGAAGCCTTCATATCGTACTTTAGTATGGAGGGGAGACAGTGTTAAAAGAAAAACAACAACAAAAAAACCAAACGAAACAGAAAAACAACACTGAGTTCTCCAGTTGGGGCACTTGGAGATTCTTATGGTGGGATCAAATTAAAAACGAGAGGGAGAGAATGCTGTTTCTGACCAATGGTTTCCATTTTGAACATGCAAAGAATTCAGGTAGCCAGGAAACGAGGGGTAAAGTACTACAAGAGAACCCTTTCCTATTGATTGTAGTGTTAGTTTACCTCTCAGGCAAACAGCAGTCCACTTCCAAACATTCACTATTCCAACAAGTTATGTAACAAAACTTATAAAATTCCTTTTACCTTTCTTCCTCTTCCTTTTTTTTTTTTTTGTTTGTATGTTTTTTACAAAAGAAAGACATCAAAAATACTGCTGAATATAGCGCACATTGAACAAACTGATTTGGAAAAAATTTATATGTAATTTACAGGATACTTACCACGCGTTAGAAAAATTTGATTTCCCACCACAGAGTCAGTATGAGAGCCCACTGCGTCTACATTCCCCAGCCTGACGATTTGGAATCCATGCTTGAACCAAAGCCTCCATTAAACCCACTGCTGGACCCCGCGTTGGAAGCTGAGCCCCAGCCTATTGCTGCTCCCGAGTTGGAACCACCGTAAGAGTTATTTCCTGAGCTGAAGCCCTGATTCTGTTCCCGCTGCATGTTGCCTTGGGGCTGGTTGTTTCCCGACGGCCCTGACTGGTTCTGCTGGCTAGCCAGCATGCCCATCATCCCCCAGCTGCTCTGCAGGGCTGCCTGTGCTGCTGCCATCATGGCAGGGTTGATGCTAAAGGCTCCGAAGTTCATGCCACCGCCCATGTTACTGCCCTGGTTGTTACCCAGTCCTCCCCCACCTCCTCTGCTGTTGCCAAACCCCCCCTGATTCCCAAAACCTCCCGGATTACCACCAAATCTTCCACCTCTCTCTAACTGCCTATTGCTATTGTGCTTAGGTTCAGCATTGGATATATGTACGCTGATTCCTTTAATGATCAAGTCCTCTCCACAAAGAGACTGGGCAACCTACAAAAAATAAGGGATTAGTTAAACGTAGGCTATTATATTTTTTTAATAAGAACATTTAGTAGTACAAGACAAAATAAGCCCGTGTGATCCTAAGCAGATGCTTATTTAACCTGAAAAGAAGCATATGTGTATATATGAGGTGTTCTATCTTCATGTTTGCTACAGAACTAACTGCAGTATAAAAGCTGTATGCACAACAGCATCTGAGTAACCTAACCTCAGCCAGGCCAACACCACCGAAGGGACCCTAAGGGTCACCCAGCTACTGAAACACAGGCTGTCTAAACATGAGGTCAAAATGCTTTAACACGTACCTGATCATCTGCAAATGTAACAAAAGCAAAAGCTCGGAAAGGTTTAGGAATGAAGACATCTAGCACTTCTCCATACTGAGCAAAGAACTGCTGGAGTTCATCTGCTGTCATGTCCTCAGTGCAGCGCCCAACAAACACTTTTCTGCTCCGCAAAGGCTCGTCAGGACTTTGCTGAAGAGAATTGAAGAGAGAAGTATAATTAATAATGAAAACTTTAACATGAAGACCGCTGTTCAGAAGACTGAAGATAACGAAGTTTGAACTTGTAAGCTTAAGACTTCCAAAATTCTCTTCAGAGAGCATGTCTGCAACTTGGTACAGATGGGAACAGGGAAATAAAGGTAGTCAGTTACAGACAGTGACAAGGCAGTGCAGTGTGTGCACATTTAACTGCATATGCACACGATCAGAAAAGACTCACTGATATTCCGTAGTTTATATATTCTGCCTCCTCTGTTCGTGCATCAGACAAGGATAAGCAACATACTGCTGCATGTTAACAACACATTATTTTGAATTTTGTATTGGGAAATTGAGTCCCCAACACCTCTCATTCTCTTCCTGTTCACCCACCTCCTCTATTTTCTTTATCCTAAACCCAAAAACCACAACCAGGGCTTTTATTAATGTGTTCATCTGCTCACTTTGCACAGTGGCTCAAGAAGAGTAGTTGTGAATGTTAGGTAAGACAAAGATAGTCATAAATATGAAAGTACCTTAGAGTTGGGAAGCTTACAGTCGCACCATCTGCCATCTATCATGTGGCGCTGGGACATGACTTTCACCTGGGTTTCGTAATCCGTAAAACGAACAAAACCGAAACCCTTTGAGTGACCGGTCTTAATATCCTTCTTAACCTAGGATAAAATAGCAGACTTTAAAACAGAACGCAGTAGCACTGTGCTCGTACTGACGACATTAATGGCATGCTATTTACCTATCATCTTCTGTATCAGCCTTGATATCATCGTCACCAGGAAGGATGCACTCAGATCTGATTACCCCCTTGTACTCAACTACCTTTTCCTATGAAACTAGCCCTGCTATTACACAGTCATTGCACAGGCTTCTGACACCTACAAATTTAATGCATTCTGGCTGCTTTCAGCCCCAGTGTTAGTTAGTGAAGCAGCAGGACCAGCACCTGGATATAATTATTTTGTAACACTGTAATGGCATGGCCAGACTTGCTGTATAAACAAAGCAACCACACATAGCTGCAGGTGGGACACAGCCAGGTAACAGAAGGTAAAGATGTAAGAGCATTTCCGTGGCAGTGAGATCTTCCCCTTCTGGGAGGATAAAAATATCCTGCATAAGAGAGAAGAAAACTGAAGCGAGCTTATATTTCAGCTTCTCTCAGCAAAGAGCCCCTAGGCCTGGCCAGGTCACCACAGCTGTGCCTGTCCCAGACAAGCAGCACTAGCACGGTGCTTGCAGCTGGCACAGGAGATGCTGCACAGGCTGTGTGAGGTAGTGGTGACACAGAGGAAACCTAGAGCACGGAACATGCTGTTCCTGAATTAATTTAGTAAGGCTTTGTTTCAAAGTTTGAAAAATAGACACATTCTCAGCTTCAACAATTAATAATGGTAACATAAACAGATCTTAATATACTGTACCCATTAGACAGATCTGCATGGATTACCACTCCCAAATATTCCTACCTGTACCTACACCAGTCTGCAGCTACAAGGCTCATGGAACAAACTACCTACGAACTGAGGCCCACAGCTTCAAATCTGCTCTGCACGTACGTGGCTCTGGTTCTTTCTACTGGCATCATCAGAACCCCAATTTCGACTCAACATCTTTCCTTACTCAAAAAGTATTTTACCTGCACCATGAGAACTTCTCCAAACGTACTGAAGTATTCCTTTAAGTCT